AAAAAGAAAGGAGCCTGGATTTGGGCTCCTCTGGGCATGCGCAGAAAACTGCATTGAACCGCACTGTTTGTCAGCTTGATTACACTTACACACATTTAGAGATTCACACGAAATCCACACTGGAGACCAGAGGTGCGAAGTCAAGATAAGTGCAATCCTCCTGATATGGAACAATCAATGCTGGTCAGGGTTCCTTTGGCCAGATGGAAGGAAGCGTGAGCGTGTTCACCATGTATCTCATTTTTGACTTGCCGGTGGAAAGGAACCGGACTGGCGCTCCCCAGAATGGACATGGAGGCAGGACCGTAAGGACCGGTTTCAACTAAAAAAAATATAATTAAAAATAAAAATTCCAACACATGTCAGAGGTCCAGTCACCAGGCGCTGAACATCGCAGAGTCGAGCAACCCATGTCCAGCATCCTCATCTAAGGTAGGAGACTCTCTTCTCTCTCTGTCACCCTTCCTTATGCATGCGCTCACCCTCTCTCTTTCTCTCGCTGTCCCTCTCTACCCCTCCACTTGAAGATCCTGGCTCTGAATACATCCGCCGCTACTCAGCTCTACATCCCACTGCTAGCTGTGCGGCTACGGCCGCCTTCCTTCCTCAGCGCAGCGCTGCCCAGCCAGGGCTCAAGCGCTAGCTACTCACAGATAGCGCACAAGCGCCTCAGCAGCACTTCCACACTTCTTGGGAATGAGCAATCTGTCCGAAATGTGGCTGGCCAGTCCTTATATTGACTTGGACTGAGCCTTGACTCGTCCCAGCCTCTGCTCCTCTTGGCTTGACTTGGAACCTGTACCGGCTGCCTGCGACCTGTTTGCTTCAGAATGTTGACGCCGGTACCCCACCCTGGGTTTTCCCTGGTGTGCTGCTGCTTTGGGTCTGTGGGACGTGACCTTTGCCTGTTGGTTGTGACCCTTGCCTGTAGAATACGTCGACTTTTCACTGTGAGATGTGACTCTTGCCTGTGGGACATGACCTCTGACTGTGAGACGTGACTTTTGCCCCTTGGATTTGACTTTTGCCCCTTGACTTTTGCCTTGACTTTTGGGCCTTGACTTTTGCCCCGTGGCTGTTGACTGGGGGTACCTGTTGGACTTCACCCGTGGCCTCTCTCGGCCTGGGGATTTTGACCCTGGTATTCGAATTTGGGGTCTGCATCGTGGAATGCCTTTCAAAACCCTCACCCAAAGGAAAAAGATAAAGAAAAAAGGAAAAAGAAGGGCTGTTTTTTGCCTGCACGGGGTGCCCCGTGCAGGTGAACCGCGGGCGACTTGCCCGGGCTGCTTGGCCGTGCTGCACAGCCAGGCGAGCCAAGTATGCCAATTTAGTTTTTTTCACCAAATTTGAATAGACACGCATAAATCGAGACTTGAAAAAGAAAGGAAGAAAGAAAAAAAACATTGTACGACAATCTTATTCCTTGTCCGCTTTACGCTTTGTTGTAAATTGTTTTTTTCTTTTCGTGCCTTGATTTTTTGTTCTTCTGAAATGTAGGCCCATCCTTAGTAGATTACTAGATATGTAATATCATTTTAATATGATTTTATGCTTCCCTCCCCCCCCCCCCCCCCCCCCCCTCCTCTTCTTGAATGTGAATGATTCCATGCCAATCTTATTCCTTGTACGTCTCTGTTTTGTTGTTGTTCTTCTTTTCGTTCCTTGCCTTTATTTTTTTCATTATTTTTTAATTCTTGTGAGAATAGGCACTTGCGCGAATGGAGCAGAAGCTACAAGGATGCAATTCGGTCGTGCCCGGAGGGGGGATTTCCAAAGCGGGGCATGCGAGCACAGTTGGTATGGCTGCAATGAGAGAGAGAGATGCTCGGGAACAAGTAGTCGCCGCTCCCAGTGGCAATGAGCAATTGGATAAGCAAACACAGGTAGATGGCCGCAGCGAGGAAAGCGGTGATGGTGGGGATCATGATGATGAGGATGATGAAGAGGAAATGGAGGGGAAGGAGGAGGAGGAGGAGGAGGAGGAGGAGGAGGTGAAAGAAGGCGATAGCGAGTGGGCTGCAGAGCTGGAACGCATCATTAAGCTTCCCACTAATGTTGGTGCACGGATACGGAATGCGATCAGAGATGCCCTCGCCAAAGGGCCTCCTATGAGGTATCGGGAACAGCTGGAGTATTCCATCAGCCGAGAAGTATACAAGGGAAATGCATCTGGCCCGACAAAGGTAATGAGCTAGTCTAAGAGGGTCCTTTCCCCAACACTCCCCCTCCCTCCCCGCCCCGCCCAAAAAATAAAAATTTTAAAATAAGAAAACATTCTAAGAGGACCTAGACACATGTCGGGAGCTTGCCAGAGTGATGCTGTACTGTGATGATTCTTTCTATTACCCATCCCATGCTCGAATGGGTCGTGCTGAATTTGTTCTCTCAGCGTGAGCAATCGAGTTGGTATTTAGAAGGTAAGGTGCGCATGCATGTTGTTTTGCCCATGAGGTTGTGATTGAAGTAAAGGGGAAAAAGAAACAGAAAAGCGTTAGGAAGTTGCAGCGGTATGGGATTTGGGGGGGGGGGGGGGGGGGGGGGGGGGGGGGGGGGGGGGGGG